TAACGTTAAATTTTGAACATGGTTACTAAAATGAAACAAAAACTAAAGTTTTTAACGGTAAAGTACTAAAATGAAACAAAAACTAAATTTCAAATATGGGTTTGAAAAGATTAAAAGTTTAAGTACTAAAATATATCAAAACTGATAGTTTAATTATTATACGTGTAATTTATACCGTTATCTATGATTATTTGATGAGTTTGGCCCTGAGTGTGAATAAGACCGGAAATTTTTCCTCAATTTCAGGGCCGTCGTTGTTTGACCCTAATCCCATCTGAAAAATGCTTTGAATGTTTTCTTTGAAATTGGTCTTAAAAGATTTACATTTTGACAAACGTTGTCCCTCTTTTTCTTTTTCCTTTTTTGAAAAGTACAAACGTTCTTTTTCATTGCTTTATCAAGATATTTTAGTACCTAAATTTTTAATTTTTTCAAAATAATACTTAAAGTTTAATTTTTATTTCATTTTAATATTTCCACAGTTAAAAACTTTAGTTTTTACTTCATTTTAGTATATTCGTTCAAAGTTTAATGTTAAGTTTTGGAAAAAAATTAAAAGTTTAGGTACTAAACGCGTTAAGTTTTTAACGGCATGATACTAAAATGAAATGAAAACTAAACGTTATGTATTATTTTAAAAAATTAAAAATTTAGGTACTAAAATGGACTAAAACTGATAGTTTAGATACTAAATACGTAATTTACCCTAAATATTATCTAGAAATAAATTCAAAAGATTTGAGAATGCCATACATTTGTAAAAGATATATGCTCACATCCAATAATCACCTTTTTTCATTTAAATAAAATAGTTTCAATTAATAATATAAGTTGTCTTTATAAAATAATGTTGTTATTACCGTATCATATTTATTTTAAATTTTATTAGAAAAACTTTAATTATTTTATTATCATTGGTGTATAATATGTATTACGTTTTGTTTTCGTTTTACTCTCAAGAGATAATATATATATATATATATATATATATATATATATATATATTATATTCCATTTATTATATTATAAACAACACACTTTGAGTTGTATCATTAGTTTTTATTTATTTATTTATTAGTAAATTCAGTTAATTATATCAATTTCATTAAATAATTCTAACTAGAGAAGGTGATCAATCTAAGTAACACTGTCCGGTCTAGGGAAGCTGATTATGGGAAGGTGCTCAATTTCATTAGTTTTATCGTTGTTCTTTGAAATGGATTACGATGCCACACGGGACCACGAAATGGACAACTCAAAAAATTTCTTTTCAAAACGTTCATAACGTTAAAACATTCATCATATCGTAATTGAAATCATACTTTATATTTACAAAACATACGGGAGTCTCCCAAATTACATACAAAATACATTAGTTAAGTTTGAACCAAAAGAGTTATGACTCGAATAATACAAGTTCATATACGATACATGCCCTCAAAGTATACTCAAGACATACTCTGCAAATTGTTCAGTATGGAATGTACTGATGTGATAGGCTCCTTAACGATCCCCTACTAACATGCACACGGAAACACATTCCATACGCTGAGCTCACGAGCTCAATGTCATGAAATTAACTATGCAATACTACATGCATTCATTTCATTAACATGTCGTTATGTAAGTCATAAACGTGCAAAAACATATATCAAACATGGGATAAGCTCGAACCATAACTATGATATCACTTGTTAGGAACTTAGGAGAAAAAAAAACCCCAAACCGATATCAACATAAAATAAAATATGTAAAGGAGAGGAGATTTAATGTGGTTTGGCCCTGCCTACCTCCCCGAGCGATATGAACAACAATCCACTATAAATGTAGAGAACATGAAGAGTACAAATACATGATATCACATGTATTTCAAAACCCGATATAGATCCCAAAACCCGGTATATCCCACGACACTCATCCAACATCCCTACAAAATTATCTCTACAACATAAACCCCAAAAAATTGTAGAGATAAAAAAGATTACATTTCTCCAAAATAATTATCTCTCACGTAACCCTAAAGGTTAAGATATAATATCTATTTACAAAGACAAATACTTGGTCACCAATAATTCTTATTCCATAAAAATTCTTGCCTAAAATAATTATTTACTTTATTAAATAAACCTAATTACTCAGTAATTTTCAACCATTAGAATTACGATAAAATCTGACTTAATTATCAATTATAATTTACGTCAAATACAACAAGAGATGAAATACAATTAGATTAAATTTTAAGAAGAAATAAACAACAATATAATCATATTTTACTAAGTTGTCATAGTTATATTTATATTTCTATCGAATTACCAAAGTAATGTGTGTTAATTAATGAATTATATTAAACACTCTTTAAGGAATTTCCTTCCGGAAGACTCTGTCTCAACATTGTTGGGTTTACGCGTGGGATGCATGTCTTTGTAATAAAAAAACATTTTTTAGGACAATGTTTAATAATTAATCAAATTAATTTTGAGAGAGAAAACCTTTAACTTTAATGGAGGTTTTATTTATAATTGTTGAATGTAATGATAAGGTATAATATATTTATAAAGTTGTTGGTTTGAGTGTTAAAACCGATATTGAGTTTGTAAGGATAAGTTCGAAGCTCACTATTGTTATTCTTGGTAGACAATCTGTAAATTCCTTTGTAAATCCCAATTGAGTAGTTTTGTCCTTAGACTGAGGAGCCACCCCTGACCTAAACTTTTTGTAACCAAAAAAAATGAAAAATGAGTTAATATTTTTTAATAAATACGAGGTAAATATAAAGTAGTATTTATTCAAAGATTTTAATTCATTTGATAATTCAAATATTCAATTTAGACAGGAATTTGATAACTATAAATATGAGGGAAATCAATATTTAGGTGCTTACGATTTCTTGTATAATCTGTTTTAAAGATTCTCAACTATTTGATAATAAACGTTTAAATACCCTGCAATCTCTAGTGCTCGAACTCCAGACCGCAAAAAATAACCATCATTCTTTTAACTACTGAAGTAGCTTGATTCGTACTTTTTGGTACAATATTTATGTATTCTAATTCTGTTTTTTTTTATGACAAAAAATTATGGAAGCTAAACCATATATCCCCATTGGATGCATGGGGAAAATTTGCCACTGCCCACTGCAAATTATTGTTAAATAAAGGTTGTCATTCAAAATGGGTTCAAAGATATAACTCATTAATTTATACATGCTCAAATATCATGATTGGTGTGAAGACATAAACAATAGTAAATGGAAGTACAAGTTCTCAACTAAAACAAATGATGATTGTGTGGAAAGTTTAACGTGCGACAACTTAATATACGGTTAAATAAATACATTATTAGTTTTATTATTATTTTTTTAATAAAATCGGTAAAAAATTATCGAAAATATTATTATTTCTACCAGTTTTGTTATTATTGGGCTCTTTACCAGGTTTGATAATATATCCGATAGAAAAAATAATATTTTGGGTAGCGCTTTACCGGATATATTATCAAGCTCGGTAAAGAACTCAATAATGTTTTGGGTAGAAATAATAATGTTTATGGTAGTTTTTACCGGTTTTGTTAAAAAAATAACAAAATCGATAACACCATTTTTTAACCGTAATTAAAACTGGCATACGGTAGAACTTTTCAACTAATGATTCTTGTGATAGTTTGTTTTATTATTGTTTTCATTTTTCATAATTATTAAACGCAATATATATTTATTTAATAAGACAAAAGGAAAGATATTATCTCATTTCAAATCTAATTTTAATCTCCATTAAACTTTCAACAATGTCTTTTTTCCGTATAAAGAGAGGAGATGTATCAATTTAGAGCTTTTAATCATTTGTTTTATGGTTATTGACATTAATTTTTTTTAATAATAATCGGTATTTGATTTATTGATCGATTAATTCAAATTAAATGTTATAAAAATTTAATAAGAGATTATTCACTTAATCTAATTTTTTTCATTTTCCAAAATTGAAATTCTTAATTAAAGATTTAATACATCATTTCATTAAATCAATTGGTTGTTAATACTTAATTAACAAAATATAATTCATATTATCATTCGTCTATTAAAATTAAGGGTAAATTTTGTGTTTAGTATCTAAACTATCAGTTTTGGTCAATTTTAATACCTAAACTTTCAATTTCTTCAAAATCATACCTGAAATTAACTTTTTGTTTCATCTTAGTACCCGTTCAAAATTTAATGTTGAGTTTTGAAAAAAATTGAATGTTTAGGTACTAAAACAGGTCAAAACTGATAGTTTAGGTACTAACGAAGCGAGGTGAGTCAAGTTGAACTATTGTTGAGTCTGATTAATTGGAGGGGTGTTTTGTATATCAAAGGGAATTTATAAGTTGCATAGCGTGTTCTGGTTTATGCTAATCTGTAAGGTTGGCTACTATGGGTGTTTAGAAGTTTGTATTGGGTTATTGCTTTTGCTTAGTGCTGTAAGACAAAGTCTTTGACGTGTTTCTCGTGTAACCTTGATCATCGTATTGCACTTTTTTTTTAACAAGGCATATGGTGATCTTGTATGATCATTTTTCTAATAGAAGTCGAATTTTGCCAGTAAAAAAAACACGTTAAGTTTTTAACGATATGTACTAAAGTGACACAAAAATTAAACGTTAGATATGGTATAAAAAAATAAAAGTTTAAGTACTAAAACATACACAAATTGATAGTTTATATACTAAATACGTAGTTTACCCTAAATCAAATGCCAAAACATGACAAAATTGGAAGGCTAACAATCAACATCAATCCACGTGGATGGAAACTAGTGGATAACAGTGTGAAAACGAGATATGCGTAGTTCCCGTGTTTGTTTTGATTAAAATAAGAATAAATTGTTTCTAACTTTCATTTTCAAATTAAAAAAAACCCTTTGGAGGTGGAAGTGTGGAACCATATTTTCTTTTATTTTCGTCTTATTTTCGCTGTGTATTTAAACCTCACCAGCTAGTACGCGACTCACCTTGTCCTCATTTCTCAACCTTCTTCTACTTCAACAAACGCCATTGTTGTTTCGAAAAGCAAGAATCTGGGGAAGAAAACAAGGAAATGGAAGAGATGAAGTCCAGGTTCAAAAGGATTTGTGTGTTTTGCGGAAGCAGTTCTGGGAAGAAAGCTAGTTATCAAGAAGCCGCCGTCGAGCTCGGCAAGGAGCTGGTAATTCAAATCTGCTTCCCATCTTTTTTCCTGAAAAAACTATTTTGATTTCTCAGATTTCATTGTTGTTTGGTTTGCTGGGGAATAAAGATATAATTCAATGGATGATGAAATCTTTTAACTCGGTGTAGTTATCTTCCATTTTTCATAAACTCACAGCGTCTTCTCGATGGTTGATTTTGTTTTGGATCCAATCCCAGAAATGAGTTTTTTTTTTCTTAATCTTTTTTTAGTACTGAATTATTTTTTGTTGAAGGTTTGAAACAACCTTATGATTATAGTTGTAGAGATGGATAAGCTGTACAGGAAGAGAAGGTTTAGGGTTTATATGCATATTTAGCATGAGAGAGAGAGAGAGATACAGCTGTAACCTTACTGTCCGTTGATCAGCCTTCTTGCATGATACTTTTTTTTGGCCATCCCTATTCCAAGGTTTTCCAATTTGAATAGATTCACGTAGCATGCCCGACTTCGGTGATCGAGTCTCCCAATAGAGATTTTCTGTACACACAAGTAATCGAACTCAAAACTTTACTTAAATGATATCAAACTACTTACCATTTGAACCAATCGTCGTCGGTCGTGATCCTTTTGCTTTTAATTTCATGTTTAAAAACCCTAATGAAATGGTAATACAGTAATAATTATACCTAAAAATAATTACTATAATTTACAACAATAATCATAGTTTCTTGCTTAACAGACGTGCTAGCCTTGATATCATGATTCCTTTGAGCTTGTTTCCTTTGGCATTTCTCACCAATATCTCCATGTTTTTTTGCTCGTGGGATTCCAAGAAAATTGCTTTTATGACCCTCAAGTTTATTAGTACAGGTGAATATAAAGTAGTATATGTTCGAAAATTTTTCACCCATATGGTAATAAACATACATGCACAAATATTCTCAATCATTTAATACTAAAACTTCATGCACTCTTATAAATAATGTCGTGCTCGATAACAATAATCTCATAATTACTGAGACCGCAAAGTTGGTGTAATTTTATGAAAAATTGAGTGATTTTTTTAAGGTGGAGAGGAGGATTGATTTGGTGTATGGAGGTGGAAGCGTGGGATTGATGGGTCTTGTTTCTCAGGCAGTTCATGATGGTGGGCGCCATGTTCTAGGGTATGTCTCTCTCTCTCTCTCTCTCTCTCTCTCTCTCTCTCTCTCTCTCTCTCTCTCTCTCTCTCTCTCTCCTTCATGTTTCAAAACCCAAATAATAATCATTTTGGGGACTCGGATATGGGTTTTAATAAGTATATTTTATATTTAAATTAATTTTTCCATCTTGAACCATGCAAAATTTTCAAAGGCAGTGGGTTTCTCATTTCTCCACAAAGAGACATCATGGGATCAAATGCCATCCTGTGAAGAATTGATGTTCCCCGTCATGATAATAATTAAGGAACCACTTTGTTTTAAAAGGAAACACTTTGTTTTAAGATTTCACGACTGCTGAAAGGAACCTGGCGTTTCTGGATAATATGGAAGTAAACACACATTAAATTAAGGGTAAATTACGCGATTAATATCTAAACTATCAATTTTGATATATTTTTGTATCTAAATTTTCATTTTTTTACATTTATTTTTGTTTTATTTTAGTATCTCACATTAAAAGGACATTGTATTTTCTATGGGTAAATTACATCATTCATCACTCAATTATCTTTTCACTCCTATTTTGGTATTAAAGTTCTAAATTTTTTAATTTAACTACTCGCTTTCAAATTGCTCCTATTTAATCACTCTATTTTATTTTATTAATAATTTTTGTGACATGACACTTTTTTATTATTTTATTAATATATAATTAAAAATAAATAAATAAATTTGAAAGTTAGAGTGATTGAATTAGGAGTAATTTAAAAATTAAGTAATTAAATTAAAAAAAATAAACTTTAGTGACCAAAATAGGAGCGAAAAGATAGTTGAGCGATGAATGATGCAATTTACCCATAAAAAAAGGTGCCACGTGCAAATCACCCTTTAAGTTTTTAACGTCGAGGTACTAAAACGAGACAAAAACTAAACGTTACATATAATTTTGAAAATTTTGAAAGATTAAATACTAAAATGGACCAAAACTGATAGTTTGAGTATTAAATATATAATTTGCCCTTAAATTAATAATGTTCTTTTGGAATTAATGATGCTGATTTCTGTTTGATATTGGTTGTTGGATTTCGCAGTGTTATTCCAAAGACCTTGATGCCTAGAGAGGTAAAATATTTCAGTAGCAATGAATAAAATCTCCATCTTGTTTATTTTTTAGATATTTTCTTCGTATTTTCTACGAGTATTTATTTCCGTTATTCTTGAAATTTTATAAGTTTATCCTTTAACATAAATATTTACGTGACGTTGCAGATTACTGGTGAAACAGTGGGAGAAGTAAAAACAGTATCTGATATGCATCAAAGAAAAGCCGAAATGGCCAGACAGGCCGATGCCTTTATTGCGCTCCCTGGTAATGAATCGGATGCTCGTTTTTTTTATGATAATTTACTGGAAATTCTTGGCCTGGAATTTAAGCAATGTGTTATTAAATCTCAGGTGGCTATGGCACCCTGGAAGAACTACTTGAAGTTATCACATGGGCTCAGCTCGGGATCCATCGTAAACCTGTAAGAATCATTTCCCGTTTTATTTGACTAAATAATCATTTTGACCTTTATTACCTTTTTTTTGTATTTTGACTCGCAATGTTTCCTTTTAGGATAAAAAAGTTCATACTTTTGAGTATTTTGGCTCTAACGTTTTATTTTAGGAAAAAAAATCATATTTTAGAACGATGAGGGTTTGTTAACTAATAATTTTCATTTAGTGAGAAAAGTCTTTTTGTTCTAAAATAAAATATTAGAAAAAAGATTAGGGACCAAATTGATTATTTAATTAAACGTTAAAGATATTTTTTTGTCAATTACCTCCCCTTAACAAACAAATGGATTTCAAACCCTAAAATATTTTAATCCTGCAACCTAGATTCATGGTCTGACATGCATGGATTTGTCTTGTGTATTTCTATCTTGTCCCCTTTGATGGGTCTTTTGGATTAATCAATATCTTATATAAAATCTCCAAGGATGAGGAAGAAGGGGCTTGGGAATCAATGCATGTGGCGTTTGAATACAGCTCACATGGAAAGATAACATAAGATATGATAATGCTCCTGCTTCATGCTTTTTGCTGAATTGATGGGAAGATCTCCATTTGAACGAGAGAAAAAGTTATTATATTTATTACATAAATGTTGGTCAAATGAAGGTGTTGGTATCATGTCTGAGGTCGACCAGACAAACCAAGATTTTTATTGTCCGAAACAATGTTCTGTCCAAATAATATAAGAGTGAATGTTGTTTTTGTTGCAGGTAGGTCTGCTGAATGTCGATGGATATTACAACTCCTTGTTGTGTTTCATCGATAAGGCCGTGGATGAAGGCTTCGTTTCTCCGACGTCGCGTCGCATTATCGTGTCTGCCCAAACTGCCAAACTATTGGTCAGACAACTAGAGGTAACCTCTTCTTTCCTTCATATAATATAACAATCAATGACATGTAGAAAACGAAAGGGTAAATTATGTGTTTAGTATATAAACTATCAGTTTTGATCTATTTTAGAACATAAACTTTCAAAATTTTCAAAACTATACACAAAGTTTAGTTTTCGTTTAATTTTAATATCATGTCATTGAAAACTTTAGTTTTTTTTCTATTTTAGTATCCGTTTAAAATTTAGGGTAAAGTGTGTGTTTAATACCTAAACTATCAATTTTGATTTGCCTTAGTACCTAAACTTTCAATTTTTCAAAACCATACCTAAAGTTTAGTTTTTGTTTAATTTTAATACCCATGTTCAAAAATTAAACGTTAAGTTTTAAAAATGAAAGTTTAGATACTAAAACAGATCAAAATTGATAGTTTAGGTACTAAACACGTTTAGTTTTTAATGGCGGGTATAAAATGAAACAAAAACCAAACGTTAAGTATGATTTTAAAGAATTGAAAGTTTAGGTACTAAAACGGGCCAAAACTGATAGTTTATGTACTAAATGCATAGTTTACCCTAAAATTTAATGTTAAGTTTTGAAAAAAAAAATTAAAAGTTTAGGTAGTAAAACGGACCAAAACTTATAGTTTATGTATTAAACGCGTTAAGTTTTTAGCGATGTGTATTAAAATGAAATAAAAACTAAACTTTAGATATGATTTTGAAAAATTGAAAGTTTAAGTACTAAAATAGATCAAAATTGATAGTTTAGATATTAAATACGTAATTTATCCAGAGTGAAAATGTAAGAAAATCAATAGGATTACGTGTTTGAAGGGTTTGAATAAACCCAAGTTGTATTACTTGAGACCAACTTTATGTACTTTAATCATTATCTTCTCAAGTAATGATGTCTCCATTTAGTGTGATTGAATAGAAAAAGAAGAGAAAACCCCTTTCACATGAGGCATTGACTATTAGGGATGAATCGAGTAGTAGGTGGATATAGTCGTCTCTTTAAAAATTATTATTTTTAAATAATTTAAGTATTTTTTATATTTTACATCGATAGTCTATTTTCATCTTCTAACATAGAATAACATGTCTGTTTGACTGCAATTTTTCGATGTTCATAGGAATATGTACCCGAATATGATGAAATAACATCGAAATTAGTATGGGATGAGGTGGATAGACTTAGTTATGCGTCGGAATCTGGTGTTGCCACGTGACATGTATCGCCTTGCCTCGGCTACGTATATACATGTATTCCGGGGGATTTTGCCTACCAAGTATATATAAGGGTATATACGGTTGTAATACAGTACAACCAGTGGTGCACCGGTCAGAGGTTTTTGGTGGAATTGGGGATCCGAACGCATAGTCACCAGAAAAGGTTTTGTGTCACTTTGATCCTTTGTGAAGCCGTGAAAAATCATCAAAATCAAAACTTACTAATCAATACTAGTTTTGTTTATATAAATTATTATTTCTTTAAGCTTTTGTCTCGGTATAGTTTTATTTTTGGGTAAACTACGCTTTAGTATCTAAACTATCAGTTTTGATCCATTTTAGTACCTAAACTTTCAAAAAAAAAAATTAAAATCATGCCTAACTTTAGTTTTCATTTCATTTTATTACCTTGTTGGCTATCAGTTTTGGCCCGTTTTAGCACCAAAGCTTTCAATCTTTTTAAACTTAACGTTAAGTTTTGAATGGGGTACTAAAATGAAACAAAAACTAAAGTTTTTAACGGTGGATACTAACATGGAACAAAAACTAAACTTTAGCAATGATTTTGAAAAAAATTGAAAGTTTAGGTATTAAAACGGATCAAAACTGATAATTTAAGTACTAAACACGTAATTGAAAAAATTGTATTTATATGACTAAAAAGTCATTAATTGGCAAAGTTGTGTGGCAATTGGATTTGCTCAAAAGTCATTTTATGTTATAAAACTATGAAAATAGGAAGAGACGGAGAAATTAATAACTTTTCTTTTCTTTTGTCAACTTTTTGATAAAGCAAATAAGGAGAAAACAAGCAAGGGTAGAAAGATCCTTTGGACCAGACTTCTTAACTTTTATGTTGGAGGTTGAACCTCAAACGTATAGTGATATTATACGAAGGCACGTTATGGAAGGAAGTCATTAAAAACGAAATATATTCCATCACCATACATGGGAATTAATGAATCTTCCTCTGAGGATTAAACCACTAAATTCTAAATGTATTTTTCAAAAGGAAAATGAAAGCAGATGAAACAATTGATAAGTACAAGACTAGACTGGTAATAAAATGATATCGATAAAAGGAAGACCTTGACTACTTTGATACATGCTCTTCCGTATAAAGAATAACATACATAAGAATGAGACTTGCAATTCTCGCTTTGTGAAGTCTAGAGGTACATGGATGTTAAAGTAGCTTTCCTAAATGAGGACCTTGACGAAGAAATATACGTGGAACAACTTGAGGGTTATGTAGTTATAATTCAAGAAAGTAAAGTCTGTAGATTGATGAAGTCTTTGTATGGACTTAAACAAGCACCAAAACAATGATATGAGAAGTTCGGTAGTGTCATGATGACAAATGACTTCAAGATAAATGAGTGTGACAAATATGTATATGTTAAAACTACAAACATTAGATATATCATTTTATGTTTGTACATCGATGACGTACTCATTATTAAATTCAAGATTTGACATGAATGATATGAGATTGGTCGATACGATTCTAGGCATCCAAATTAAAATGTCATTTAAGAAATTTAACAATGATGATTTTGGTATAGTCATAACTCTAATAGACACTTGTTCACAGTGACCTAAAAATCAAGGTGAAAGCATTCATCAAGTGGAATATGCAAGATTCATAGACAACATAATTTATATCATGAGATATACTAGACCAAACATCGCTTTCACTGTGAGCAGTCTAAGCAGATTCACGAGCAATCCAGGGGAAAGCCACTGAAAAGTAATAATTAGGATATTGAGATATCTTAGATATAGGTGAGATTATGGACTGCATTATTCCAAAGATCTTGTTGTCATAGAAGAATATTTTGATGCCAGTTGGATATCTGCTGTTTAAGATACCAAAGGTACCAGTGGATATGTATTCACTTTAGGAGGAGAATATGTGTCTTGGAAATCCCCGAGACAAATGATTATAACTAGATCCACAATGGAATTTGAGTCTGTAGCTCTAGACACATCTGGAGAATAAGCTGAATAGGTTCATAACTTTCTTGAGGATATTCCAAAATGGCTGAAACTTGTGCCCACAATATGCATATATCGTGGCAACCAAACAGCAATTGCTAGAACACAGAATTTCATGTATAATGGTAAATCGAGACATATGCGTCATCGACATAATATCATTATACAACTTGTCTCGAATGAAATTATCTCTATTGATTTTGTAAGATCAAAAGATAACATCACGGATCCGCTAACCAAAGGGTTAAATTGAGATCAAGTTGAGAAAAACATCTAAAGGAATGAGACTAAAGTCCATGAAATTTAAAGACGTAATGTGAAAGAAAGTCCTATCTAGTTGACTGAAGATTCTAAGATCTAGGTTAAAAGGACAACCTAATTGCATAAATTATGTACGATCACTACGAGGATCTCTCATCCCAAATCCATTCCTATGATTAGAAATTGTCATTCCTAATTGTCATTTCTCAGATTAATTTAATCAGATTTTTCTCAATTAATGGACCCTCAAAACTTGAAATCACCTCCCACCAACTTTTCTCCTTTGTCCATACACATTTTGTCTTGGCTTTTGGTTTGGTATGTTTTCTTTTTAATTGTCAATGAAGACAAACATAAAATTAGGGTTCACAATGGAAGAATATCCTTAATTTTCAATCCCCTAACTTTAATATTTCATATCAACCAATCTAAACATATGGATGAACACATAATTTTTATATTAGGGGTGGATTTATAAAAAATTTAAAGGACGAAAATAAATTATCATTAAAAAATATAAATAAAATACTTAGAATATATACAGATTTGAAATATTCAGAAGGACCATATCCCATGAAGGTTGAAATTTTTATATAATTTAAATATATGTTTTTCTAACATAAAATCCTTCATCAGTTCTTGAATTCGTCCTTACTTACATGAATTTAGGTAACATAAAATTCATCATATGATGCAATTCTGCTTTTTCTACCATTCATTCTTCGAGAAAGAAAACCAAAATACAAATCACGAGATCTTAGTGATTAGAGAAATAATTGCTATCTAAAGAGATTTCGAGTTCGAATATAACATTTATAAGAGTGTTTAAACGACAATCTCATAAAAAATTATCAAAAGTTATGATCAGAGTGAAGTTGTTGAAATCCAAGATCAAAGCCAGCAAAAGAAGACGAACTCAAAAGGAAAATGTGTCATAAAAACAAAGTAGAAATATATTATAAAAACGGAAAAAATACTCTCTTTAATTAGTATACTTTATTTTTAAAGATCCTTGATATTAATAATATAAAAAAATAAAACTTTTTAAACCTTTCTTGATATATTAATTTTAATTTATTATCTTTATTTTTTATTCAATTTAATATCTTTATTAAATAACTTTTATTATAATCTTGCCACTACAACTACATTTGCAATTAAACAAATACATGCATGCTAACTTTAATCTCATTACTACAATGCTTTATCCGATCTTACCAATTATAAATCTAAATCAATTTTAATATACTTCCAAAGGAGACTTTAATATCAATAGTATTATTCGACATTTTTAGCACATATACTACTTTATAATCACCTTAGCTTAATCAATATATATATATTAATAAGTGTTTTTGTCTTTTATTTTATTTTATTTTTTGAAATTTAAAATACAGCTTGTTAATATAAAGTTGAGTTAATTGCATCATATATCCCTAAAATATGACACTCATTTTAAATTAGTCCTTAAACTTTTAAAAGTTCCAATTTCATCCCAAAAATATGACTCGCGTTCTAAATTAGTCCTTAAACTTTTGAACATTCTAACTTCATCTCTAAACCATGAGTATCATTCTAAATTGGTCCCTAAACTTTTACATCTTCAATTTTAACCCAAATTCATCCAAATATGTAATTCGTTTCAAACATAGTTTAACCTAAGTTTTTTTTCCAGGCATATAATATCATAACTTGGTCTATCAATTTCATTTATAAGGGATATGATTATTATATACATATATTTTAGGATTGAATTTAAATGTTTAGAAAGTTTAGGGGCCAATTTAGAATAAAGATCATACTTTGGGGATGAAATTGAAATGTTTAAAAGTTTAGGGACCAATTTATAATAAAGATAATAGATTGAGGACATATGATGTAATTAACTCTATAAAGTTAAATTGACTAACATTTTAGATTAAAATAAAAATATTACATTCTCCGTAATAAATTATGTAAATTATATAATTATTATGGTTACAACCTAAAAAGTTACCATAAAAAACTCATGAAACATTTTTTTGTGTAATCAAAATTATTATCAATTGAATAACTTTTTATAGTAGACATGATAACATTTAAGTTAAAATCTGCCACAGTATAACAATTTTCATTGTATCTGAAATTGTTATTAATTATGTAATTTTTTAGAATAAACAAGTTAATAGTTTAAGTTAAAATCCGTCGCAACTTAATCTTGGATTTTTCTATCGAAACTTAACCTTGGATTTTTCTGTCGAATACCAGAATTTAACTTTTTAAGGAAAATAATTGGTAAAGTATCGAAAATAGATTGATGTTTTTAGGGTAAATTACTCTTTTGGCCCATTTTAGTAATTAAACTTTTAATTTTTTCAAAATCATACCTGAAATTTAGTTTTTGTTTCATTTTAGTACATGTTGTTAAAAACTTTAGTTTTTGTTTCATTTTAATACAACTGTTCAAAATTTAAAGTTAAAGTTTTAATTTTTTTTGAAAGTTTATGTACTAAAACGGACCAAAATTGATAGTTTAGGTGCTAAACGCATTAAGTTTTTAACTGTGGGTTACTAAAATGAAATGAAAACTAAATGTCAGTATGATTTTGAAAAAAATTGAAAGTTTAGATACTAAAACATATCAAAACTGATAGTTTAGATACTAAATGAGTAGTTTACCCATCTTTTTGTTACTCGTACTTATTAGTGATTTTCTATATTTGGGAAAAGGAAGGGTAGAGAGAATTTAAGGTTCGGGTAACATCATAAATGGGGAGCCGAGTCTCAATTAAGACACCAAACTGCTTATGCTCTCGGCTTTAAGAAAGCTATTGAGATTGGGCCACAGCATTTATAAGCCAACAGTCAGTAAATAAATGTTAGGGTAAATTACAAAATTCATCAGAATTTTAGTCTCTCTTCTATTTTTCTCACTGAGCTTTAAAGGTTTTCAGTTTCCTCATTAGATTTAATAAATTGAGTTTTTTTGGGCATTGAATTTTACTCTATCTTCTATTTTGGTCACTCCGTCTTTAACTAGTTAACAACGTTACAAATTGACGCTATTTAAAAAAAAATAAAATTTTCACCAAAATGATGACATTTTGCATCTATATAACTTTTCATTTTTAACGATGTTAACTATTTAATATCCGAGTGACTAAAAAAACCCAATATATTAAGTGTATATTAAGTTCAGTGAGGAAATTGAGAAGATTTAAAGTACAATAAGTGAAATATGAGAGAGTAAAATTCAGTTATCAAATATGTAATTTAGCCTAAATATTAGTTTCATCAACCATATTGTTCCCTGCATCCACTAGTATGCACTTCATCTTATCCACCAGCTCCTGCATTTGTTCCCTTGAATGCAAGGGCGAAGGGTAAACGCATACGCAATCTAGTCTTCCGTCGCGCACGGTGTCGAAGACGGCGATCGATGACCCGATGCCATGACCGGAAGCACATCCCATGTAGTCCTCTATGCCGACTCGGTTTTGCTCGTCGTTCGACTCATCCACCACCGTGTCCTCGAACACCGACAACAAACATGTCCTCAGCGAAGATGATGGAGTCAAGCTAGGGTTTTCCATGGCCCTGCACATCAAGAAATTAAGGTCTGCCATGTCTGACAAGTGCCTGCCGCTGCTCTTGTAGTTTGTGAACGTCGTGTACGTTTTCTTGGCTAGTTCCCAAAGCTTCTCGCCTCCTTTAATGGTGTGCGTGTTGAGAATAGCTGTGTGGTAAAACCCTAAAAACAAGTGTCAAATAAAACGCATTACCTTATTTGGCATATGACTGTATATGAGAACAGACATATCGTAAGGTACTGGAGATTAATTAGGTCAAAACTCGATAAATACTCTATTTGAATGGACTCGACTCGAGCTCTTAACAAGTCAAAATGAACTACTTGATACTCGACTCAAAAAACTTGTGAGCAACTTGAAAATATTATATATTAAGATTTTATTTTTTTTAAATAAATTATTAATAATATTAATATTTATGTGTTGATTTTAAAAAATACAATATAAGATTTTCATGTATTTAAGGTTCAGGTCCAAGTTTGAGTTTGAGGCTTCAATCGAGTTAAGTTTAAGATTTTTTTTTATTTCGAGCCTTTTTAAGCTTTTATGAGCTTCAATTTATGATTTCGAGTTTAAGTCGAGCTTGAAAATTTTAGGCTCACGAATTTTTGAATCGAATCGAACTTCATTTCAGAGTTTTCGAATCGACTCGAGCTCGACTTCACTTGTTTATAGCCCTAATTTGGCTTGAAATTTAAAACATTGAAGTTTGGTTGGGCGTTGAGTCTTTTTCTACTTCAAACAAAAGAGGTTACACCGTACAGCCAGCCAGCATTGTCTTACTGGTTTCTATCAAAGAAAAGGAAACGGATATGGTAGTTGGCATAAATATGCATTTCAATCCAGGGCCAAATTCATTAATGAACGAGATATTTGTTAAGAAGATTTGAGTTCGAATTGATGTTTTTAAGAATTTAAATAGAGGTTTACTGTTGGAACCGACCGTTATATAACAGTAAAGGTGTCATCTAAAACTGTTATTACACCGTCGTAATAACCACATTGACTGCAATAACACTCGTTATGTTTACAATTGTGATGAACACAATGTGACCGCAACCACAATTTGAATCTCTGATTACTTCTGTAAAGTGTGTGTGATGTAAATAAGTTAAAGAAAACTTCTGAACAGGTAAATTTACCGAAATGGTGATCGAGGAGAGGAGGTTCAAGAATTGAACGGCAATCAGTGAGGGTTACAACACCATATTTCTTCTTTTGATGATCTGAACGGCTTTTAGAACTGTGCGTCGCCATCAGCCCAGCCGCAGCCAACGCTCCACACAGCTTAATCCCTCTTGCCTTGCAACCCTAAAAATGTTAAGTTCATGAGTCACAAATTTCAAGGCATGTTTACTAATTACAAGCAGGGATGGGCATGAGGGTTTCTACTCGATCTGATTCTATCACATCTGATTTTTAAAAAAAATCGGGTTTGGATCATGTTGGGTCGGACTTTTTAAAGATTATGTTCAAGTCAGGTCGGATTTGAGTTTGGGGTGACAAATATTTGACTCGACCCGAAAAATAGACTTTTACGTTATATATTTAGGGATAATTACAATAAGACCCCTATATATGTATATATATATATATATATATCAATTAAATCTTGATATTTTATTGAATAAAAATATTATTTTTATAAACATATTATTTTGGGTCGGGTTCAGATTTTATCTCAAAAGGGCGGGTTACATTTAGGTAGGGTAGAGAGTATATAACTTTTGAGTTGATCGGATTGACCGAAAATTTAATCCAACCCGATCCATGCCGGTCCCTGGTTACACGCTAGAAATGATTATTACTTACCTTCAAGATCTTGTCAGTGTCACCAGAGTTAATAATCAACCTCACAACTTGAGTAGATCTCTCCGGTGTTTTAAAAAACGGATCGGACCGGTCGATTCAACCGGAAATTGTTGTCTAGTCCGGTTCAATCTAGACCTATTGAACCGCTATTAATGAACCGATCGAAACCGCTGAACCATTCAAATCGGATCGGCTAAAAACCGGAAAAAACTGAAAAAACCGGTAATTTTGTTTTTTTAAAAAATTAAACCAAACGACGTCGTTTGTTAAACGAGCCAAGTCGAACTCAAGTATTGCTGAGCTTGACTCGAACTTGAAAACTTTAAAAGTAAGCTCAACTCTACTCAAACTCACGAGCTAAAAATTATCAAGTTCAACTCGAACTCGAAATATAATATTGAAATTTGAACTCGAAAATGCTTGAACTCAAAAAAAAATTTAGAAGCTCGATTGAAGCCTAAAATTCGAGTTTGATTGAAGTGAAAGAATAGTTCACTCAATGCTCACCAAAAGACTATATGATTTTGAATGCCAAATTACCTCTATTATTTATAAAAGTTAGTTGGGATGATCTTCTATGTTTCTTAGTTATGTGGAATTGTTTAAAAAAAAAATTAAACCAAACAATATCATTTTGTTATGATTTTCTAGCTCCAAATTTATTTTTTAATTATAGTTATATAATTATATTTATTATTTAATATGTTTTACCTTAAATATTATGTTGTAGTTAATTTAAATCATTTTGTTTCACTTGATTTTATGGTTTTTAACTTATATATGTTATGATTTGCTTTGAATATGATTTGTGATATAAAAAATTATTTTTTATTAAATATTTTTGGTATTTTAATTTAATTTTTTAAATAATTATGACGTCGTCCGGTTCTTCCGACCGGTCAGACCGGTTCAACCGGTTGAACAAGTGAACTGATAGCATGACCGGTTCACTAACCGGTCCGGTTCTGAAAACCATGGATCTTTGAGATTTTGCATCAATGAACTTCAAGTTGGTGAGCCGTAAAGAACTAACAGAGTAGCTAAGCATGTCGACTCCCCGTGCCCAAATCGTTTTCTTTGCCATCCCTCTACGAACAAGATCTTCAATGGCCAAACTCATCTCTCCTTTATTCACCGTAATCTCAATTCGACCCTCTTCTTCAACGGCCATCAGCGTCAACAACTCTCTCAGCAGCGACACCGCTGTGGTCCGGTCGCAAGCGGCGGCGTGTAGGCAGAGCACCAACACGCAACCATTCGCACCGGGTAAAGCGTAAACGCTGGCGAAAACCACGTCGGTTTTCGTCGAAGTGGCACTACTAGTCCAAGCGTTTTGGTTGAGCTCGTGTTCGAGAACGAGATGGAGGGGGGAGATTTTTCGGTCGCATTCGAGGATTCGGGAAGTGGCAGCATGGCTGAAGCGGTTGATCTGAACGGAAGGGGACGGTGTGGTTACGAATGAGTAGGTGTTGGAAGTGGGATTGTAATGGAGGCGAGAGCCGAGGATCGGATGGGAGGTATGGAGGTCATGGAGGGCGTTTTTGAGACGTGCTATGTGCATGTTGGGATCGAGAGAAGAATGGATGGCCAAGACGGCGATCCCGGTGCCGCTGACCACCTCGCGGCACCAGTTGAGCTCTGTGCCGCCCACGGCTCGACCATTGGGATGGAGCATTTGAGAATTGGTGGATATTGATATCAGCAGCAGCCGGAGAGTGATGGAACAGTAATAGCAGTGGTTGGTTTCGGCGAATTTTCAAGTGGAGGATGTATCATACATATACACATGGCAAATGGCAATTAAATGAACATGGCCATCCCTCGCCCGCCCCATTAATTCTATTTTATATTCACCCAATAATAATTTTCCCAAAACAAATAGGGTAAATCACGTATTTAGTACCTAAGCTATCAGTTTTGGTCCATTTTAGTACCTAAACTTTCATTTTTTTTCAAAATCATACCTAACTTTTAGTTTTCGTTTCATTTTAGTATCCGACAATTAGAAACTTAACGTGTTTAGTACCTAAACTATCAGTTTTGGTTCGTTTTAGTACCTAAACTTTTAATTTTTTCAAAACTTAACGTTAAGTCTTGAACGGATATTAAAATGAAACAAAAACTAAAGTTTTTAATAGCGGATACTAAAATGAAATAAAAAATAAACTTTAGGTATGATTTTAAAAATTTAAAAGCTTAAATACTAAAACGAACAAAAACTGATAGTTTATGTGTTAAATGCGTAATTTACCCAAAAATATGTATTAAAATACTGATTAAGTTTGGTTAAAGAAAGTAATATTCTTTCTTTCTTGAGGTCTTGAGTTCAAGCAGTTGTATCTGTATGATGTGTGTGTGTTGTCAATAGTTAAGAAAAATTATGAACGGATATTATCTTTAATCATCCTAGACTATTCAAAAATAATAATAATAATAAAACATCATTTAAATATTTTATTTTTAACTCTTACTTTTTTTTTAAAAATGTCCTCAAAATTTACAATAGAATTTATAATAGGTGGTAGTAATTGTAATGTCAACTATTTCTTATTCAATATTCACCCCTTGTACCTTTAACCTTTTCCTTTGGTACGAATAAATTTCTTGTGTTGAACTTGTTATACTTAGGACGGTAATTTAATCCGGAATCGATGGGTTCTCATCTACTCGATTTATTACGTTCAGATCTTTTTTTTTCAAAAGGAGTTTGGGTCAGGATGGATTAGGATTCGGGTATAGAGTGAAAAAATTTTAAACTGATATGGGGATAATAATGTAATTTATTTTAAAAAATTATTATTATTTTAATTAAGTTCATATTTTATACCAGATCGAGTCGGCCCGAAATCTAGTGGATGATATATATTTTCGGGTCGGGTCAGATCAAGTTGAGGATATATAATTTTCGAATCAGACTCGAGCGGAGAATGCATATTTTCGAGTTAGATCGAATAAACCAAAAACTTACCCTAATCCGACCCGTTCTCATCCTTATTTATACCCACCATCTTTGTGTCTCCATAAATATAGAGTTCGAGCATTACAAGGCTTTATACTATAAGATTCCATTATTGTACAGGTGTACTATCAAGGTTTTATATTATATACATTTGACATTGATTTCATAATCATCAATAGATGAGACGATCTATTGATAACATAAAATTGACATAATTAAAAAAAATATTATTTATATTTAACTAAATAATTATTTTGATTTTTTAGAATATTTTTATCTCAAATGTTTTATTTTACGAATAAAAAGATCATTCTGTAAATAGAAATTGTTAGTTAACGACACTTAATACTGCAAAGAGTCTTTTTTGTCCTACGATAAAACATTATAAAGTACAATACTTCTAAAAATTTAAGACTAAAGTGATTATTTAATTAAACAGTAAGGACATAACATAATACCTATAACAAAGAATATAAAAAAGAAGTGGACGTGGATGAATCCAAACGGTTGATTGGAGCAGTCGTTCCCCCTAAAAATTTTAATATTTTTTATTAATAATATATTTACTCTCTAAAATTTTATTATTTTCTTACATTCTAAAATTTGATAAATTTATTCGTCCTAATATAAAATCATATGTCTGTCCCGTATTTGAATGGCTTCACTTTGTCGTAGTTGAAAAATCGTTGGTCCTTGGTGAAACCTTCCCCAGCTACCCTACACCCAAAATTGTAGGTTACCACATGTTGTATTTAATTCTACAATCAATATGTGTACCCGCACCATCTTCATGTATTTATTAAGCAATTAAATGTCCGAAACCATAAAATTTTATAATGTCTCGAAATATTATCATTCTTTCTGTAAAAAAATGAAATATTTTAATGGTATAGACATGCATGACACGAAAGATTTGCTATAATTTAAGGACAATTCGATTTATTATCCCTTAACTTTAAGGACTGGGAACAAAATAATATATGTTTCTGATATCGTTCTTTAATTTTGGTCCGTTTTAGAACTTAAAGCTTTATTTTTTTTCAAAACTTAACGTTAAATTTTGAACGGATACTAAAATGAAACGAAAGCTAAAGTTTTTAACGGTGGATACTAAAATAAAACAAAAACTAAACTTTACGTATGATTTTGAATTTTTTTAAAAAAAAATTAACTACTAAAACGGACCAAAACAGATGGTTTATGTAGTAAACACGTAATTTACTCAAAAAAATATTTTTTAAATTTTTTAAAAAACGACCTCAGAATTTACAATATAATTTATTTTTTAAGTTTATATAAGAGTTTTAATTATATAAAAGGATAATTTTCGTCGCTTTAGATCTTTAATTTTTTTTATTAGGTACACATAGTTTTAGAATGTTTCCATTGGACCAAATATATTTTATGTTTGTGTGAAATTTAGCAAATTTATATTATCTCTATTTCATACAAATCTAAAAAGAGTTGGAAGGAAGTTAAAATGCAACATTTATAGTAGGTGTAGGGTTGTAAACGAGTCGAGTCAAGTTCGAGTATCGCTGAGTTCGACTTAACTCGAAAACTTTGAAATGGAGCTCGACTCGAGCTCGAAATCGAAATCATGAATTGAAACTCGTAAAAGCTCGAACATGCTCGAAAAGAAAAAAGATCTTAAACTTAATTCGATTAAATCCTCAAACTCAAACTCAAAATTGAACATCACAAATGTTAAATATTATTAATAATTTATTTTAAAAAATAAAATCTTAATATATTATATTTTCGAGCTGCTCGCGAGCTTTTCGAGTCAAGTAGCAAGTAGCTCGTTTCGGCTCGTTAAGAACTCGAGTTGAGTCCATTCGAGTCGAGTATTTATCGATATTTGACCGAGTCAATCTCGAGTAGCTCGTGATTTGTCCCGTCTCATTTACGGTAATTGTATTGTAATGTAATGTCAACTAGTTCTTATTCAATATTCATCCCCTTCTACCTTTAACCTTTTCATTTGGTACGAATTAATTTATTGTGTTGAACTTGTTATACTTAGGGATGATAATTTAATCTGAAGTTGATCGGTTCCCGCTTATCCAATTCGGTAGGATCAGATTTTTCTTTTAAAAAAAATTAGGTTTAGGTCAGGAAGTGCAGGGTTCGGGTAGAGGGTGAAAAACTACGACTCGACCCGAGATAATAATGTAACTTCTTTTAAAAATTATTATTATTTAATTAAATTCATATTTTATACCGATCGGATAGGATCGGACCGGAATCGAATGGAAAATATATATTTCCGAGTCAGATTGGATCAAGTAGAGAATATATAATTTTTTTAGTTAGACTCGAGTGGAGAATACATATTTTCAGATTAAATCGAATAGACCAAAAACTTGCCCTAATCCGACCCGTCGCCATCCCCAGTTATACCCACCACCTTTCTGTCTATAAATATAGAGTTCGATCATTACAAGAGATTATAAACATTTGACATTGATTTCATAATCAATAGATGAAACGATCTATTGATAATTTAAAATTGACATAATGACAGAATTGTTATTTATATTTAATTAAATAATTGTTTTAATTATCTTATAATATTTTTATCTCAAATATTTCATTTTAGGGATAAAAAGTCACGATGTAGATAGAAATTGTTAGTCATCAACGCTTAATATTGTAAAGAGACGTTTTGCCCAAAAATAAAACATTATAAAGTATAATACTTCCAAAAAATTAAAATTAAATATTTATTTAATTAAACATTAAGGACATTTTAACATAGTACCTATAACAAAGAATATAAAAAAGAAGTGGACGTTGATGAATCCAAATGGGTGATTGGAGCAGTCGTCCCTTCTAAAATTTTTATTTATTATATATTTTAATATTTTTTATTGATAATATATTTTATTGATAATATATTTTTATTCTCTAAAATTTTATAAATTTATTCGTGTTAATATAAAATCATACATCTGTCCCGTATCTGAATGACTTAACTTTTTCGTAATTGAAAAATCTTTGGTCCTTGGTGAAACCTTCCCCAGCTACCCTAAATTTACCACCCAAAATTGTAGGTTACCACATGTATTTAATTCTACACTCAATACGTGTACCCCCACCATCTTGATTTATTTATTAAGAAATTAAATGTCCGAAACCATTCAATTTTATAATGTCTCGAAATACCATCATTCTTTCCCGGTAAAAGAATGAAATATTTTAATTGTATAGACATGACACGAAATGTTTGCTATAATTTAAGGACAATTCGTGTTATTATCCCTTAATTTAAGGACTGGCAACAAAGTAATATATGTTTTTTATATCGTTCTATATTTCAAAATGCACCTTCAACTTAAAATTAATTTACATATATTATGGAGAAATCATAAATCGTACATGTTTTTAAAGAAATCCAAAATTTAAGGACTTAATATTATAATAGAAGGTTTTTAAAATATGATTGATTGCAGGGTTTTAAATAACGTTTGCGGTCACGTTTTCGGTCGCGCCGCGTTTACCACGATTGTAAATATAACATATACTATTGCGGTCATTGCAGATATCGCGATCATGAATTTTTTTCGAATGAGCTGATTTTTTTATTAAAAAAAACATGTTTTTTAAAAAAATTAAAATAACGGAATAATAGCGGTCTACTATTACCGCAATTGGCCGCGATCCGCCGCTATTGGTGTTATCCCGCTTCACACCGTTATTTTTCGTAATAGTGA